CCTTTTAATGTTATATATTTTTGGTGAGCTTGTTGGATTGCTTGTAATGTTATATATATTTTTTATAAAAGTATGTTTTTTTGTTCTACTTTCTTCTTCAGTGTGGAAATGTGGAATGAGTTTGTGTTGATAGAATAATATCAAAACATTCACGTTTCTTGGTTAAGTTTACAATAAATTCCTTGGGCTTTTAGATAGGAAATCATAGGACGTGGTAAATGTACTCCATTCTTTGCTACATTTTTTCTTTCAAATCGTATCCTTTTGTAGGTTGGCATGAGTACATTCGTCACAAATTTCCAACCACATCTAGTTTGGACTTTGGAACAGTTACGTCAGTGATAATCTATGGAATTATAGCAGAAGTCTTATGAATTTGCAAGAATTTTCTATTACTCTATTGAAGCCATGAATTGTTTGCACTTGATGCAACTTGATCCAAATGACTAATATATGGGCAGTCTAGAAGATGAAAAGAAAAAATAAAAAAGACTTACGTATAGTCTAATCTTTTAAATATTTTAGGGGTTTCTGATCCATTTTTTTTGAAAAAAAAAACTACTTGACCGGTTAGTCCAGTTAGCCGCCCGGTTAGTCCGGTTCAGGTTCGAACAGCTCCTAGGCTCATGACCGGTTAACCATTCCGGTTCGATTTTGCGAACACTGCTTTAGACTCTAGAAAAACATTCAACTTAGATCATCTCAATTTCGAGATAGAGTATATAAAAAATTATATTTTAAGTCGTGAAAATAGTACATCTTGTAATAGACTATATGAACTATAATGTGATGACCCTAAATTTTTGGCATTGAATAATAATAATAATAATACAAAATTCCTATATAAAGTTATAATTTTGAATGAAAGTCCATTGTGTTATGAAAAACACCATGGGACCATCTTTTTACAAAACTTTTCATTTACACGTTTTTTACACAAAAAAATTTAATAAATTAAAAATAATTATAAGCATGAGGTGATGTGTCAATCATGAAGTGTTCGTTTTGATGAGGTGACATAAACAATTAAGGAGTCAACAAAAATAAAAAGACATATAATTAAACATGTGTCACATAAAAAATAGTTCTATCTCACTTTAAATACTTATCATATCCAATCATGTGGATATTCTCTCTCTTCTTGTAAATTCTTTTTTATCTCTCTCATAACGAAATTTTTATTCTCTCTCTCTACTCTCACCCTCTCATAAAGTTCCCATAATGAATAGTTTTTCTATAATATTATTTTCCCATAACATTGTTTTTATAATAATATCATGAAGATATTATTATTCTTGTAATGATAGTATTCTTCTCATAATGATAGTATCATTATTCTCATAATAATAATTTTTATAAAAATAGTATTTTTTTATCTCTCATAATATTATCATGAAGACAATATTATTCTCATAATGATAGTAAAATAATATTCTCATAATGATATTGTTCTCATAAAAATAATGTTTTCTTATCTCTCATAATATTATAATGAAGATAATATTATTTTCATAATGATATTATTATTCTCATAATGATAATAAGATAATATTCTCATAATAATAGTATCATTATTATCATAATGATAATGTTCTAATAAAAATAGTATTTTTTTTTATCTCATAATATCCTCATGAAGATAATATTCTTCTCATAATGAGAGTAAAATAATATTATCATAATGATAATATCATTATTCTCATAATGATAATGTTCTCATAAAAATAGTACTTTCCTCTCTCTCATTCTCATAAAAAATAATATTGTTCTCATAATAATGTATTTTTAGCATGTTCAGCTCTCTCTCATAATATACTCTCTTTTTCTGGTAATGTTCTCATAAAAGCAATTCTATACAAATTTTCTCTCTTCATAACGGTTATTCTCTCTCTCTCTCATATGAACATATTTTTATATAAACTCATTTGGTCTCTCTTCACATACCCTTAGTTGAACGTCATTAATCCTAGTTTTACTCTAGCAACAGTAGTAACATACCCATATCGTGACATATAAAGCTAACTTATCTCATTTCCTGTAAAATAGTTATATAAAAACTGATATTTCATATTTAATTGTAATATTTCCTTCTATCATTATGAATTTTAGATATTATAAGTATTATGTGCAAGTGGCCTTATTTTCTTGTAAAACAGTTATTTAAAAATTTGTATTTCTGTGTTTAATTAAATTGTAATATTTATGTCTATGAATTTCAGCTGCTATAAGTTTTATGAGTTTCTGTAACATGATTATTTGAAAAATTATATTGCCGTATCTAATAAATTTGTGATATTTCCATCTATTGTTAAGGATTTTAGATAGTTGAATATTCAATATTTAACTATAGATTTCCATAAGAGTTTTTCTATTGTTAATAAATTGCCTATCATGTTAAATTTCAATAATGTCTCTCAGATCTGCTACCTTTCTGAAAACCATAATCTTAATAATCGACTGGTTATTTATGGAAATGTTAGTGAAAATGATTGATATAAATTGTTTAATGTGAATTCATGTTAATGATTTCAAAGATATTTTGAATATACGATACTATTGTTTCTTTATATTTAGTGATAACGAGTTTTAGAGATATTTTAAGTACACAAATGGACCTATCCGATACGCCGTTAGAGATTAAGTGGACTTATCCGATATGCCGATGAGATATATGTGGACTATTCGATACGTCGGTAGATATTAAGTTGACTCATTTGGTATGATGGTGAGATATAAGTGGACCTAACTGATACATCGGTTGAGATTAAGTGGACTCATCTAGTACACTAATGAGATATAAGTGGATCTGTCCGGTATGCAAGTAGGGATTAAATGAACCCTTCCAGCACGCTAGTGGGGTATATAGATGACCTACACTGGTGGGGTATATAGGTAACCTACTTGTGACGTTGGTAGGGTATTTTGACATCTTTTGAATTATGTTAAACTATGTATTTTTGCTCTTCCTCATGTGGTTTTAAATGCATTCAAAACTGTATAAGAATTTTGAATGGTTATCCATATATGATCTTCTACTTATTGTTTCAATATATATTTTTTTAGAAAATATTTTCATTTTTCTACTATGATTTTTAAGGATTATAATGTCACTTACTGAGTAGTCAAACTCATAAAACTATTGTGAATTCTTTTCAGAGTAATTGTAGCCTTATTGTTTGAGTGTACAACATGAGTAGCATGAAAGAAGTTCGCAATCATTGTTAAAATTTGTTTTTGTAACTTTTGTTCTATCAAAATTGTATATACATATAAACATTCATGTTAATATGACATTTGAGTAGATTTTGTACAAATTTGAAAAAATTTGACTAAAAAAACCAATTTTGGTACAATATATAGTGCAAATTTTGAATTTGTTATGTTTATAGTATAAGAATAGATTGCCGCACCTTAGAAGTGTTAGAGTTATAAAATTTGGGGTAAGACATGGACATCCTTAAAAATTTTAATTGCTTATAGATCTACTAGAATTACGTTATTTTTGTAGGTTGAAATTTTGTAATTAGAGATGACTTATGGATTTTCGTGCCAGCCAAAGGTTTTCTAGCACAAAACTTCTGCATGGTGCGGTATGGTTTGAGGTGCGCCTCACATAAATAGTATACGGTTGACGCCTCAGGCAAACCTCACCCATTTTATAATGCACCGAACGGTTTTCCCGCCGTTTCGAGATTGGGAAAGGAAAGGGCGCGGCAGGGGAAGGAATCATTCTTCTTTCTTGCCCTAATTCTTCCTGTCTCTCTCTACCTTTCGGATTTCTCTCTCCTCTCCCCCTCTCTCTCTCTCTCTTATTCTCTTTCTCTGCAGATTTCCCTGATCAACTATGGTGCGAAGGAAAGCAACGACAGTACGAAGGTCAAACCGAGGTCAGCTTCAAACAGTTCCTTCTACCCTTCCTCAAATTATATTTTTTGTCATAGATGCTTCTCTTTCTTCTAGCTAGCAAGGAATGACTGGTTTCTTTCTGTCATTTACTGAAGAAAGAGGCTATCAATTCTTCCAGTCATCTGGTCTGGTTTTCTTTACATGCTTTTTAACTTATGATTCCTGATAGAGAGATTTTTCTTTTCAATTGTTTATGTGGTAGCTAAAAGGCAAAGAAATGCACCTACTTCTGATTCAGAAGATTCATGGCAATCTGATTCGGGTGGTGATCCCACTGTTTCATCTGATTTTAGCAGCTCAGGTGAACAATATTTCTTTTCTTCATCAACACATTTTTCATTTTCTCTCTTTCTGTCCATAGTCTGAGTTCTTCATCCATTGTATATAATTTATTTGAACTAATTTTCTATGAAATAGTTGATTTACCAAATGAAAATTGTCATTTTGTCAATGGATTCCATGGAATTCAGAATCAGATGAATCCTCTGTGCCAAAGGTTCAAGTTCGGAGACGAACCAGGTCCCATGTGAGTGCCTCAGTCCAAGAAGAAGCCAGTGATCCACCTGAAGTGAATGGTGTGATTGTTGATGCTTTGAGAGATCTAAACCATGGTGACATTGATGATGCTTTGGGAGGCTTAAATCATGATGGAGGTTTAAATCATGATGGAGTTAATGAAGATATGATACAGCGAAACCATGGTGTCGCAGCCCCAAGAAAAAGGAGAAAGAGAAATTACAGGCAAACATGGAACTTCCCACATAAATACCATTTCCCGCGATTGCCCTGGGAAAAATGGGAAGAAGAGAACATTGAATGGTTAGTTGATTCTGGAAAAGAAGATATTGAATTGGATTCTGTCGCCCCCTTTTATGGTGGAACCCCTGATTCAATTGACCCATCTTCTGAGATATTGGTACCCTTATTACAGTTTCAAAGAGAATGGTTAGCTTGGAGCATGAAACAAGAGGAATCGGTGATGAGGGGTGGTATTCTTGCTGATGAAATGGGAATGGGAAAGACCCTTCAAGCCATATCCCTTGTTCTTAAAGCCCGAGAACTTCGAAAACCAAGTTTGGCTAAGTCCCAAATACCCATCGATGGTGCTTTGCCTAGAGTGAAAGGAACTCTTGTGGTTTGTCCTGTTGTTGCTATCATTCAATGGGCGAATGAGATCTCCAGGTTTACAGCTCAAGGAAGCGCCAGGGTTCTTATCTATCATGGCGCCAAACGATTCAAGGATGCTTTGCAGTTCTCAGAGTATGATTTCATTCTGACCACCTACTCCATAGTTGAGGCAGAGTATAGGAAGAATGTCATGAGCCCAAAGGCTAAGTGTCAGTGGTGTGGTAAATCCTTTTATCCGAAGAAATTGGTTATTCATCAGAAGTATTTTTGTGGTCCTTCTGCTATGAAGACAGAGAAGCAGTCCAAGCAAGTAAAGAAAAAGACGAAGATCAAGGTTAAGGCAAAAAATAAATCATTTGAGAAAGATAACGAGATCGAAACTGAAATTGTGGTTGGTAAGGAGAAAGGGAAGGACAAAGCTATGGAGCGAACTCGTCAAAAAACAGTGCGTATTCAAACTTCAGATGAAACACGAATTCCCCATGGAACAAGTGAGGCCTCGAGTGCCACTGGTGGTTCAGCCTTGGGGTCATCTCTTTTGCATTCTGTGAAATGGGAGCGCATAATATTGGATGAGGTAAACTTTGTTCAGAGTTCCATTGCAAAATTTCTCAATTTAATCAGCTCTCTATCATGGGTTTATGATGTACTTGATATTTATGTGTGGAAACTTGTATGACTTCCATTTTCTGATTCCAACTTGTTCGATTTATTCATGTTTTTATTCTTGCTTAGAGGTTTGACAATACCAGATCATGGTGAAATCTTAATTTTCTGCTTTCTATAAGCTTCTAAATAATGTACCTGAATGTTCAAGGTTACAAAACTCTCTTAAATTTGATTTTATTCTTCTGACTTTGAGTTGTGTTGGATTCAACACAAACATCATTGCCTAAGAAGTTTTGAATTAATGGTTCTCTAGTCCTATGGTGTATTGGTGTTTGCTGGAAATGCACTATCATTGCATGGAATAAAAAGGTCTATGTTATGTTTTCTCACAAAGTGGTCGACACCTCCGATCTCTAAAATTCTAGACTGTTTATTCTTCCTTAAGTTGTATTGTCAAAATTATCTTGACGGTCTATAGCTCTTGAACTTCATGTCCCTTCCACCGCTAATCAAAAGGTAGTTCATAATTCATAATAATCTTTTTGTAATATGTAAAGTTGTACTTTAGATTCTAAACATCATCATTTTTATTGGTATACGTATAGATCAAATTACCACACTGTACTTTGCAATTATCTAGACCTTTATATATTATTAAACATCTTTACTGTTTTGTGAAGTGATCATTGTATCAACTTTCAATGAAGCTTATGGATCCCTGAATCATTCAAAAAGGTTAATCCTTTGTAGATTCTGATTCTTTTTCTTTTTTTGTTTGATCCAAGTTAATAAATTGTGATACTTCAACTTATAAAAGTAACGGAGACCTCTGTTTCTTAAGAATCTTAAGAGAAGCAGGGTTTACAAATCTGAGGATTATTTTGACATTAGGAAAGTTTGATCCTAAACCTATTCGTATCCCAGACATAGAGATCATATTCTTAGGTTCTTTGTTGTACTGAAAGCATCTAGGACACTAGTGGTAGATGTCCATTTATAGAGCTTGCAATTTTTTTTTCTTATCTTGCAAAGGGGTTTCTTTCCACTTCTTATTAGATCTGTTCCTTTTAGATTGAAGTTTTTGTATTTTTGATACCAGTGATTTCTTGCGTGCCAATTTTTCTATGGTTTCTTTTCTCTATGTTGCAATGGATACGAGTATGTGTATCAAAGTTAGATGCATGTACGATGTATTGGATTCTTTGAGCCTCCAAAAGTCGGATACTGAGACACTATGGCATATATGTTTATATATCTATATATCTATATCTGTGTGTGTGTGCGCCCACGTGTGTGTGTGTACCCTCTTAAAATTTTGACCATACATATTCCTAAATTGTATTATTCCTAATTTTAGGAGACGATTAATATGAATAATGTTCATATCCTACAAATGAATTTTGAATTTTTATTGAGAGTCTTACCCATGGAACTCTTCTACTATCAAGGATGGCTTTTAAAATTACCTCAGATATTCTGTCTTCAGAATAAAAGCAATAAAAATAACAGGTAGTTTATGGTCAAAAGTTTGGGAGTAGGGTTTTCCAACATCACCATTAGTGTGTTTGTGTGTGTGTGTGTGCGTGCGTGCATGCGTATGACAAGCATCATTGATTGAGGAATAGCAACATAGGTGTACCACTGAACAGAAATTACAAGAATCCAAGAGTCCTACAAAGTTATGGTGAGGAACCCACAAGTATTAACATGGTATAGGTAGTAGGTATTAAGGTTTATTGGCTTAAAGTTAGATGTGTTCCCCTTCTCTATGTTTATAGTTTAGATATAGAAAATTAATTAAAATGAATAGAAGTTTAAAATGTAACAAGGTTTGAAAAATCGACAATCCGGATTGAAATAGCCTGATTTAGATCGGATCCCGTAATATATCGAGATCTGGCCGAGCCCCCCAGAACTGGCTGGTTTGGATCGGTCCATACGGCTCAACCAGTTCCCACTTTTTCAATTTTTAGATTTGCTGTTTCTAACTTTTTCAATTAAAAAAGTAAGTGGTGGCCCACCTATAAGCTGTTCTCATGTTGAGTTATCTCCATCATTGAATGTCAAACCTCCCACGTGGTCCTTGGCTGGCCAATCAGGCACCGATATCAAAGCACTGGGTTTAAGTCCTTTTATAGGGGCTTTCTCTTCCACATTTCTTCGATGTGGGACAATTCCTTTTTTTTTTAGACAAGCTCAACCCTCTCTATCATTCTCTTCCTCGCATGTCTTTCCTTAACATCCAAACTTTGGGACCAACATGTATGTTTGTGCTTGCACAATTATTGAGATGCATTTACTTAACACTTTCTAAAATTTAATTACTGTCCATGGTTTGTCTTGCTTCTTCTTTTGAAGGGGGAATTTTGGGTTTGCTCCAATGACTTCGAAGTGGGACAATTATTCGTTGTCCCTTCTCTCGAACATGTCATTGCGTGGGGGTGAATAAACTCCGTCTAATAAATAGGTGAATAATATTAGGCTATTAGCTAATCGAGATTACAAAGGAAAAATAATATTAGCTCATGGGATATTAAAATGGTAAAAAATAATACTAATACTAGTTTATTGAATATTTTAAATAGAAAAATACTAGCTTATGGGATATTTTAAAAGAAAAAAATAACTAGCTCATAGCACTTCAGAACCTATTTACAAGTTGCTATATCAATTATTCCACATTGCAAGTATGAATTTGTTTTACTTATTTTTGTAATTTTATTAAAACATGATTGCAAATATATGATTTTAGATTCTATATTTTTGTCCATACTAATTATTACACATTAGATTTGATGGTCATGCCCTTGTTTCTCTTTATTAAATAAAAAAGTCCAAAACTATTATGCGCTTTTTTTTTTTTTTCACTATAAATTTGAGTCAGAGAGATCCTGTTTTCTGCAATTAGTTGCATTTTAAATTTCATTTGACTATAAAATGATAACATGAGAGAGGTTCTCAGTACTTATGTATTTTCAATAAAATAATAAAAAATTATGATGCAATGCCACATTTTTTTGAAAACCTAAAAAAATAGATTTTTAAGAAATTTTTGTAATTTTTTTAACTCCGGATCTTGCCGATCCGGATCGCTGATTTGCCAATCCGACCCAGTTTTCAGGATGGACAATCCAGGTCACCAATCTGTTTTTCAAACCTTGAAATATAACATTATGTTACATGATTCTTTTGGGAGAAGAATCCAAGACATCATGATACGAATCTAGATGCCTCAGATTCCATGTGTCCATTTGTCTTGAGAATCCCCCCTTCAGGATTATTTGGAAAGAGAATCCACCTGTGTCATGCTGTTATCCCTACCTTGTCAGCAGTCTTCGGCACATGTACGGAGCCTAGGGTGAAGAATCCGTGCAACATGGCCTTTTTTCCTAACAATTCTCAATACTAACTATTTGAGTTTGTTGTTAAACTAGGCACACTTTATAAAAGACAGACGATGCAACACTGCGAAGGCTGTTTTTGCTTTGGAATCTTCCTATAAATGGGCTCTAAGTGGCACCCCTCTTCAGAATCGTGTTGGAGAGTTGTATTCATTGGTCAGTACAGAGATTTGTTGACCTTTAATGGAATATTTTTTGGATTAATACTTCACTATCACTTCATTGGCTGATATAAATTTTCATTTTCTACAGATACGCTTTCTGCAGATAGAACCTTATTCATATTACTATTGCAAGGATTGTGACTGCAAATCACTCGATCACAGGTCTACTATCTGATGTTCAGTTTGACGCCCTTTTATTTTTCTTTCATTTTGCTTTGGCTAAACGGAATTTAATACTGATCCGCGCTTACCTTCCCGTAGTGTTCACTGTTGCAGTTAAAATTTTGAAAGTATATATGTCAGTTCATTATTTGTTGATAGAATTCCATTTCTTTTAACTTCGATGGTCTTGTAAGGCATATGGGCATCCCTTTGTGACATCCCACAACATAGTAAACAACTTTCCATCTGTTTGTTCTGTTTCAACATGCTTCCTACACCTTCTTTGACTTAATGTTTGCAATGAAAATATCCTGGTTTTTGAAATTAGAAATTCTTAAATGAGGTATGCTGTTTGGCAACTTCACATAGAAAACTGTTGGTTCCGTATACTATAGGTACCCGAAGTTATATCAGGTATCCCAGGGGCACTCTTGTGTGTTGCCATTCTTTTGCATTTTGAATGTGTCAAGGATTGGATGCGAATGAAGTGTATTCTAGTGGTACACAGATGACTTCCTTCCCTATACTATAACAGGTTTGGAATTAGGTCCTTCCTCATTCCAAGCAGATTGTAAAACATGGAAATATGATGGTCTGTATTGGTCGCGAGGTTCCATCCAAATGTTCCTAGAATGAGTTCCATTCCTTTATGATCACAAAGCTGCCATATAGGTTGCTACCAAAAGGTGCCTAAATGAGCTCCATTTCCATCTATGGCTCTAGAGTGGTTAAAATTGTGAAACTGTGGCAGTTTAGCTGGCTATGTAATCCTGCTGTAGTATGTTTAATTATATTATAACGGTGTGAAATGACAAAAAAAGGGACCACATAACCTTGACTTTAAGTGGGTAATAGGCTACTCTATCAGACAAATGCTTTTTATTGCTTTGCTTTAATGAATAATTTTCTTTGTATAGATCAATTGCTCAAGAATATGGTATTGATTCTGTGTTTGGCACTTGCTAGGTATAAACACTTGAAAACTTGTGATATGGCTGTTGTTTTAAGATGCAAATAACTAATTATGACTTCCATTATGAGTAGAATGTCATGTAGATCCTCGTGCCTTTTTGCTGAGTTTGTCTATTTGTTAACATGGTGAAACCTTTTTTTTTTTTGTTGTGTGTGTGTGTGGCAGGGTGCGGATGTTTTTGTCTTTTCTTTTGTGTAACATTGCGTTAATCATTTTGCATGCATCAAGTTGGCTCAAGAGCACAGAAAAAGTGAGAAGCATAGTTGTTGGGATCAGGAGCTGGAACAGTATTGGCATCAGGATCGGGATCGGAAGCGAGGGATCGTGAAATGCTAGAAGATCCCTATGATTGGGAACACCGTTTGTACAATGCAGATGTTAGGGATTGAGATCCCCAAATGTTAGGGATCGAGATTACAACCTTTTGGGGATCTTGATCCTGACCTTTTGGGATCTTGATTCCAACTTTTTTGGGGATTTTGTTACCAACCTTAAAGTGTATGATAATCTAGGATTATGTACTCTTTAAAGTAGGGATTTCATTATTTATAGCAAGCAAGCAATAGTTGGGTTGCCAGTTGGCTATAAACAAAGAAAATCATCAGTTTGATTGTTGTCTTGGTCTTTTAGGTTATCATCGAGATCCCTAACAGCAAGAATCGAGATCCCTATCAATGGGGTTTGAGATCCCAAAATTTAGAAATCGAGATCCCCGAGAGATCCGTTTCCGGAGCGACAGAATCGAGATCCTAGAAGGGATCGCCTACCAAAGTAGGAGATCCTAATAACTATGGTGAGAAGTATATGCCACAAAAAGAATATATGAAAGATGGGGAAAAGAAATGAGACGAATAACTCAACTAAGAGGATGTCTTTGGCCAAACAAACTTGCGTCTTTAGTGAAAATAAGCTCGTATTGCTAATGATTGCTGCTATCTAGGAACGTAACTTGGAAGATGTATTTAGTTAATGTTATCTCATATCCGTGGTTATCTATCCTTTTCTTAGTAGTGTCTAAAAGTGAATCATTTGATGAATGGAGGGAGTTCAAAGGTATTTTTACTGCAACCATTGTATTCAAGTTTCAAGCACACAGGGGGACTAGCGGTCCAAATGTCCTGTATATGGTGTGAAACCTTTAACTCTCGTAGTAAAGGGGGTTTAGTACATCCCCAGTCTAGCTCTTGCCATTTGTGTGCCTCGAACCATTCCAATACTTCCAACAAGCTGATTCAACTTGCAGAGATGACAGTTCCTGGCCGTGATGCATAGGTCTAAACATTTACTATATGATTTTTTCATGGATTTGTTTTTGACAAGACTACAATTTTTTATATATGCCACTAATAATCTTTGATAGATTTGGGTTAGGAGAGAAAAATGTGTAGTTTGAGTGTGATCACAATGAGATTTTTGTGGCTTCTTGGTCCATGTGTGTCTGTTTATCTTTCTATATCGGTGTCTGTTGGGTACCTGGGTCTTTGTCTTGATGGTTCCTGTAGAATCTTCACCATTTCACTCAATTACTTGGAGATTTTACTTCATTCACTTTATTGTCTCTATTAGCCTGTTGAAGTTTGATTCAAACTGTTATTTCTCCGTTGTCAGACATGTTTGATTGGATGTTACCTTTGTTCATTCTTTTGTGGCTATAGAGCTCTACCACTCTTTTGGTTTGTATTGTGATGGGGTTCTGCCCATCTACATGCATAAGAATTCTACAGTCACTGCTGACATATTAGAAATTCCCTTAATGAGTGCTATGTTTCGTGCTTGTAAGTCCACTTTTTGCGTTTTTGCCTACGCATGCGTATGAGAGTTTTGCTTAGCAAGTGCCACTGAGGCAGAATTGCTTGGTCGATTTATTAGTTAGAAATTCTTGGGGATTGCTGCATGCTAGGGTGAACTTTGCCAGGAAGGAGCTATGGGGACAGGTAGCTAGGATTAATGTTATCAAATGTGGGATGCGGACTCGATGCAAGATGCTGTCTGTGCGGCTTGATTTGGTCCCGAAGTGGGCACATCACATGCGATGCGGTTAATGAATTTTGAAAAAAAAAGGAAAATAATAAAATATAAGAATGCACAGAAAACACAATGTGTGAGTTATTTGAGTTGAAATTTTAATTTAGTATTTTTCTCTAATAAATTAGCTGTGTGAGTCGCCTGATAGCGTGATTATCTGATAGGGAGTAAAGAGTTTGTTGTCTTAATACAAATTAATCGATTCATCCCAATAGCATTGACAATTTAACAATTTAACATAACATCCAAAGGCAAAAATTACTTTACAACCACAAGTTCATGACTCCAACCTCACAGCGACAGCCTAAAGATAAATTTCAAATTCTAATGACTAAAAGTTCATTCATGTGAAATGTAAAAGATAATAAATGCACTCAATCTCAATGAGTCAATAAGACAATTCTCAAGTCTTATATCAGATAAGTCGTGATGATCCATCATGTGCATCTCCCCGATCCAAACCCAAGATTGAACAATCGTTGTCATCAGTATTAGCACCCTCTGCAGACACTTCTTCCTCCTCTATCTCCGCCAAGCCAGCCTCCTCCTCGTGTTCTCACTATTTATTGGCTAGCTTTGATGGTCCAATCATGAGCTCTTGCGATGGATTGTGGATCATGGGTTCTATTGTGCTAGTTATACAAGACAGTCCGTGGAGCATGGCGACTAGCATGGGTGGAGTTCCTTAGTTGCATATTTTGACCCGATGGATGTGTATCTCTTTGAGTTTTTTTTAAAAAGACTTTACAAAATTTATTCATTTAAAAATAAATTTTTGAAGTGTGCCCGAAATATTTTGTTTTTGCATCACAATTTTTTAATATAAAATAAAATATTAAAATAGACATATTTCTCAGAATTAAAAAGTTGTATGAATTTTCTTGTGTGACTTCTAAAATTTGTCTAAGGACTCAAAATCATAGGACATGTGGGGCCCATATGGTGAAGTCCCAAACCTGGGGAACTGTCCTAAAGTGGTGTGTGGGGGTCCTATGGGTCTCCTATAAGGTTTGACATACCTTGGAAGTCTTTGACAAACCTTGGAAGTCCAATGGGAATGGACAGTTTATTCTAATTCTATATTTGAAAAATATTTTCTAGTGTTTTGATAAATTGTGAAAAGTTAAGGATGACTTCTAGTAGGATTCGAAGTTTCCTGACAGATTTCACATAGGATTGGAATTGTTCTCACACTAAGAATTACAATCCTAATTAGATTATAAGTGATAGGGTCAAGGATTCTAAGGGATAATGGTTTTATATCCACCCTTCATCATGATGGCTGATTTAGGGAATGGACGACTTACATTAAAAGCCTCTCTTCATCCCATAGATGACCTTAGATCAATGCTCTAGATTGAATCCTATTTTGAGAAGGACAATCCTAACCCCAAAACAGCTATAATAGGGGTCACCTCAAGGGCCTCATCATCTCAGCCCAGCCCCTCCCTCTTTGTCTTTGCTTCTTGCTTTCTCCTCCACATGTTCCTCTCTTCTCTCTCTCTTCAGCCTACACGTGCAGCCCAGAAAAGCTTTTGGAGCTCACCTCAAGGGCCTCATCATCTCAGCCCAGCCCCTCTCTCTGTCTTTGCTTCTCGCTTTGTCCTCCACGTGTTCCTCTCTTTTCTCTCTCTTCAGCCTACACGTGCAGCCCAGAAAAGCTTTTGGAGGTGCGACACCTGGCTCAGTAAACCTAGGGTGGCACACCCCTGTTAAAGAGGAATTCAGCTCTAGTTTACTTGTGATCAAGTTTGTCCATTCTGGTTAGGCTCTCTCATTCCTCAGTGTTCGGGTTTCCTTGGAGCTTGCCAAAGAGGATTCAGCAAGGACCAAAATCAGTGTACGGAAGTCCTTTGGAGGTGATCCCAAGGCAAATTACAGTTTATTCCAGTAATGGCTTCATATTGTTCCCACTTGAAAATGTTCATTGTCTTTTCCATTTTTTAAAATGAATAGATAGAGTTATTTCATAGTAGCAAGAGAGGATCCTTTGTATTTTTGTCCTTTCTTTTATTGGAATTTTTGTTGTATGTAGCACCTGTAAATAGACTCGTCAATGTAGTTAATTAAAAATTTTCAATTTACATACACTATTCAGGATCTATATAGTCACCTTTCATGCATTATGTGGCCACTTATGGTAACTTAGGCTAGGAAGTAATTGTTTCTAGCTGGATGCAATTGGCATGGCTCTGATAAGTGGTTTTGCAGCTTTAGGTTTCCATCTTATGACTCTAACAGTCATTGGTATATGATTTGGATATATTGATTCCTGATCTCTTTTAAGGGTAAATCTTCCAGGATTTTACATCTATTAGTTAATAGAATTATCAGGAATTCTAAGTGATAGGCTTATATCCAATTGTTAGCAGCACACATCTTTTCTTTTCTTTTCTTTACAGTTTTTTTAGATATATATTGCACCACTGCTTTACGCTCAATTTTATGTTTGAGAGCTCTCCAAACCTAATGTCATTCTTTTACTGAACTTATGTAGACAGCTGTATCTAACCGACTCTCTATTGGTAATTTAGTTTCTTAATATAGCCATACATTTCAGAGTAACAAATGGAGTGTGTTTTATATTTTAAGTCATCCTCACTGATATCCTATTTTCTGAGGCTACAAAGTTATATTTGCCGGAGCAGATATCGTATGCTAACTTCACTGCGTGCTGTTTTTCGTCTTTGCAAATTAAATGCATGATAGCATTCTCTGTTGGAACTGTTTTTGTATTGCTGATGCAATTTTCCTGTCACCTGTTCAAGTGCTTGAGATACCCTCTCTTCATTTACTATACCTCTTCATTATATTTATACTGCAATTACAGATACGATGAAGATGGAAAGCGTTGTCAGAACTGTGGCCATTCACCTTTGAAGCATTTCTGTTGGTGGAATAAGGTGACCTGTATTCATTGGTACACTTTTAGATGATTTGTTGTGTAACAATAATCTCACTGCTCATGATATATAATATCTTTATTTTCTCTAGTATGTGGCAAATCCGATAATGGCGTCCTCTTCTATTAGTGAGGCCAGACAAGCCATGTTTCTTCTTAAATACAAACTATTGAAAAGTACCGTTCTTCGTCGTACCAAGAAAGAGAGGGCAGCAGATCTCGCGCTTCCTCCCAGAGTTGTAAGTGTTTATATTGTTATAATTTAATCCATGAAAAACCATGGAATTATGCTTGGATTGTTGGTTACTTTATTGGACCTTCACATTGTTTATATATGATATTAAAATCTCTGAGCTTGTTACTCTTATGTTTGTTGCTAGACTATTTTGAGGGAGGATAGTTTGGATAACAGAGAGGAGGACTTCTATGAAGCACTATATACTCAAAGCCAATCTCAATTTAACACGTAGGTTCCATCCATTGTCTAATTTCTACTGTATTGTTGAGTGTGACTGTCTTTCTTATGCATATTGGCTAATGTTGTAGTCATTAAAGGCATTCAATCTGATTCCTTTAGCACTGTTGTTAAAGGATGGTTCTTTTGATATTTCCTTGGCTTACATGCATTTAGCATGTTGCTGGAATATTTTTACTTTTTCTTGCCTGCGTGGGAGTTGATTGGAACTTGGGAGGCAGTTGATACAACAAAGCTGGAAAGTTGAGGGAATTTATATGCTTTCGATGGCTTATCTGAAATTCTGAACCAAGCAATGTTGATTTCAGCAAGAATAAAAGCACAAAAGGCATGCTGCACTTAGAGCTCGCTTTGCCTACAAAACTGGGGGATCATGCATTCCAAATGTGCAATCTGGGGGCCCCCTCAAATCCCCCAGATTGTTGTCCTTATTTCTTGAGCCTGGGGCCTGTTTGGTCAGCAATTTTGATTGGGAGATGAGAAAGAGAAATAGAGTGCAGGTTGGCAAAACTGAGTGTTTCTTGGGAATAGGTTTTCCCTGATGCCAAGCAACCATGAACCACTTTTGCATGGGATATACATGCTGCAGGGGCGTGCCAAACTCTTTTTCTTCAGAGGAAGATCAGTTTCTGTTTTTTTTTACAATCATGCATGCCCCAGCTTGCAGAAATAATGTAATCTGGAGGTCATCAAAATTTGCCGTTAAGTAGCTTTTTATTTGCATTGTTTTTTTGGACAGGATGATCTGTAATTTGTTGGCAAGCATGGCCTTCAGGTTTACCTCTTCGATAAATTTCTGCTTATAAATTAGTTCATTATTATCAAGGCATCACTTTTCTTTTGTTGTTTTAAGTTTTAACTCATAGTTGGAAAGCTTTGCAGCCAGTTGAATCTCTAGTTTTTTGACGAGTTCTCTTCCTTATTTCCATGTGATATCCAGAAAATTTACTATTAATTGACTTTATGTTTATAAGAAAAAGGAAAGATTCTCCATTGTATTCCTTTTGTGGACTGTTTTTTCTTCACCATCTTGAGATCATGTTCATTTAGTATGCACATATGGGCTGGTATTCTTATTAAATGTGCAGGAGTGCAGTTTTTAGCTCATAGTTTTGTCCCTTTCATATTCAATGTTGATTGTTACATGTGTGTTTAGCATGCAAAAAAATCATAAATTCTTCTATGTTTTTTTCATCAATTTATCTTAACCAAACTTGTATTTGCCTTGACATTTGAGATGTTTCTGACTTGTTGTGCAGTTACATCGCTGAAGGAACTTTAATGAACAACTATGCCCACATTTTTGATCTCCTCACACGGCTACGGCAGGTAGCTTTCTCAACTTTTGTCTGAAGCCTGAGTACACTGCTGATTTTGGCTTTGTAGGATAGACTGTAAATGTTGCATGCCATTGCCTTCTCCTGGCTTCAGTATATGTATTATCATGATGGTGTCGCCTGTGCTCCTGATGAAGTACTTAGCATTACTATTCATCATGAATGGCAATGCATTTAACCCGACATCTTTAGTCAGTGGTCAAGAAGCATAAGAGGAAGTGCATCATGACAGTTTCTTTAAATAAAAGTTGAGCTCCAAGCAACCATTGTAGAAATTTTTTCAAATATTTGTCATGAATCATGACAGTTCTGTTAATACTATTATATAAGCATCTACTGTCTTTCTTGCTCAATTGGTCTTTCCTCGCACTGATATCTGATTTATCAGGATTATATTTCTACTACTCTTGAAATGTACCTTGAGCAGGTTTGAACTTGCAAATATGATGGATTTTCTGCTACTCTGATCAGTATCTTTACTCATTTATTGATACTTATAACTGACTCATCGTGGGTCACGAACTTCAGGCTGTTGATCATCCATATTTAGTGGTGTATTCGGATTCACAACAATCAAACAATCAGATTGGCCCTGCTGATGCAATGCAGTATTGTGGAATCTGTCATGATCCAGCAGAGGATTCTGTGGTGACTTGTTATCTTTTACTGAGTATTGAATTATTGATGTGAAATGCATATTTTTTATAATCATTTTATTTATTTTTTGTATTCATTATTCATGTCTTCTGTAGCATTTAATATAGTTCAATCTTATGTATTTATAGTCATTTTGCTTGGAAACTTTCATAAATCAGCATGTATCCAAAGCTCCATCTGATTTATTGTTTATAATCCTTGCTATCCTTCTCTTTCAATTGTGATCATTTTCAGGTCACTTCCTGTGGGCATACCTTCTGCAAGGCTTGTGTGCTTGATTTTACGGAAACTTCAGGGCAAGTCATGTGTCCTTGCTCAAAGCCCCTCACTGTTGACTTAACTACAAAAGAGAACTCAAAAGATGGGAGTAGCAAAATGGCTGTCAAAGGATGTAAACGTTCGAGAATTATGAATCAGATTAAGAACCTTGACGATTTTCAAACTAGTACAAAAATAGAAGCTTTGGTATATTTCTTGATTCTGTTTCTTCAACTATTAATATGGTTCCTTGTTCTTGTTCTTGTTCTTTAGTATAATTTGGTAAAGTTTTCAGTGATGACTTACATTTATTATCTTTCCTTCTTTAGAAGTTTTATATATGCACCTTATATTTAGGCATGTTGCCTCTTTTCTATTTGTGTCATACTATCAGTATATTAGATGCTATGGACCTGATGGTTTCAATATTCTAGTTATGGGAAAGTTAAATCTTGTATTATTTTATGTAGTTTAGGAAGACACTTGTTTTCTATTTCTTATTCGATAATTGTTCTTCGAGTTTAGAAGTTTTAATCTGAACGGTAGGACCTTAGGTCAATCTTCTTGCGCTTCAATTTGTAGAATTTAAAGTGTTTCCTTAAGGGATGTTTGTTATTAGTGAATTCATTTCCTTCTTTCCATTTTACACAACAAAAAGTTTACTGGCATATACTTTAATTTTTGATATTTTACATCTATTAGGCTAAGTGCTACTAGCCTAGAAATGTTGTGTTTGAGAGTGCTGTTTATAGAGTGGAGCCTGGGTAGAACGAAATGTATACTATCTCTCCTTATGCTAGATTATGTGATGATCCCCTAGGGACTGACAAAAAGCTTGGCATCTGGCTGCAATGAGTCATAGTAAATTTATCTTGAGGCATTTGCAGCACTAAGCTCATACTCTTGTAACATTCTTCATTGCTGGTAAATCAATGCGACAGGCAGCAGGTTTCACTAGGTGTACAACAGACGCTGGTTGTACACACAATTCTCAATTTTGGATCCGAGTTGAACCTGATACATGGTAGATGTTTGCTGAAAACTATCTTTCACATAACCAGCAATATGCACTATAAGAGAAAACTGTCTTTGTTGCAAACGTCCAACAAAGATTTTTTATTGTAGACACCCCATGAAGAGAACTATAAGCGGACTTATCTCCTTGTGATCTGACTACTTCCAAATTATGCATCTTATAACAAACCTATACTTTCTGTTGGATTTCATCGTTCTTTCATATCAAGCCCCAAGCTTGATTGAAGAAAAAGTTATAACAAAGAAACTTTACCTTCTGTGATCTGACCATTTCCAAATTATGCACCTTATAGAAAACCTGTTAACTTCCCATAGAATTTCATGTTTCTTTCAAATTCCAAGCTGCATTTGAAAAAATAATTCTAACAAAGAATTTCTCTCATTCTTCCCTTTTGTCAAAGCTTTACATGTGGCCCCTTTTGTCTTGGGGCCTCTCTTTCAATGTCTCATATTTTTCCTGAACCTATTAATGGTTGCTTTCTCCTTCTCTCTATAATTCTTAATTTTTTATCAAACCTTACTTTGCCTCCTTTTTCTTGGGGCCTCGCTCTTTCATTCTCTCATAATTTTTTCTAAACCTATTAACGGCATACCCTTGACATTGCTTCTTTATTTGGGACTAATTTGTCAGTTCCCATGTAACTTTGTGTATGCATGATTTCTCTCTCACACAAAATGAATGTCTTCTCTTATCCTGTGTCACACAACTCTGTCTTGAGTGATATATATTAGTCTACATAACATATCTGAAGTTGATTCTTTCAAGTTGAATTAGGAAAGTTCGAATTGTGACTCGGTTCCCTAATGCTCTCAGCTTTTTTAGGGACTGCTGTTTAGTCCTAGGTGGAAGCTAGATTAACTTCCATTAGCTCTGGATATGTGTTTCACTTGTGGTGCTCATGGCACTCGTACATGTGTATATGTGCTGCATGTGAATGCTTCCCACATACAGGTTTGTGAAACATATAAATATGCTGTGCCTTGAACTCTGCTTGGAACTTATAGAATATGTTAAATTATCTCTAAAAATGAAACCTGTTAAATTTCCTTGAAAACAAAAAAGATCTATTGCACATGATTTCCTTTTTCTGTTCATTTGTTGAAGTTCAGAAAATTGTGTCTTCTACTATTTTGAATTATTTGCCCTAGCTGGTTTGCTTTCTTTGTTAGTCCACTTCTTTGGTATAGATGAATTGAACTATGGTTTTTTTCCAGAAAGAGGAGATTTTTCTTATGCATGAAAGGGATGCAGCTGCAAAGGCAATAGTGTTCAGTCAGTTCACTTCATTTTTAGATCTGATAAACTTCTCTGTTCGTAAGGTATTATTTGTTTCTAGTTGTAAACAAAGCTAAAAGGGAATCTTGATGGATATGATGAACTTATCAAGCATAAGAGATATTGACTGTATGATTGTCATTATTGGAAGAAACATGTCTTTTCACAACAATCATTTGATTTTTTGTTATGATGTTAACAGGCAGGTGTAAGATGCGTTCAGTTGGTGGGGAGCATGAGTTTGGCAGCTAGGGATGAGGCAATAAAGACTTTCACTGATGACCCAGACTGCAGGGTCTTCCTTATGAGCTTAAAAGCAGGAGGCGTGGCTCTCAATCTCACTGTTGCTTCCCATGTGAGTAACTTTATCATAATTTTTCCTGGTAAAATTCTTTGTTTTGCATAAATATTTTTTTTTTTGGAAAGGTTACATAGGAATGGAACTTGAGATGTTGGGCTATGTAAACCAGGCCTCTACCGTCTTGACCCTAGCCCAATTCCTTTGTTTTGCATAAATATTAACATCTTACTTCTCATCATCAATGATTTCCTGTTGAGGTAATTAATTTTGTTCGAGTGTCTTGTTTTAATGTGGCTCATAAATTGTGAACATGAGATAGAACACTTGAAAGTTCAATAACAGCAATTTTTTTTTTTAAACTGTGACTTAGATATCATTGGCTTTCCAGTAAATGACTTAGATACATTGTTTCTTCTTGTGTGGCCATCTTCCAAATCTTTTACCTATTTCTTGATCCATCCTGAAGCTATATGATATTCGACCTTCACTTTGGGCCCATCTTTTTGAACCATTTTACTTACAAACCCAAATCCATGGTCCTTTTCAATCTTCAAGAGTTGGCGCATAACCTTTTACTTGGATGAGGGCTGGTTTATGAGACAAGATATGCCTCTCTTTTGTGAAATTGCCCAGCATAATTTGTATTTTCATGATGTTACAACCATTGTTGCATTATGAGGTGTATGTCAATGAGTTCTAATGGGTTTACATTGGCTGTTATGCTGGAAACAGCTTTACTTTGGAGGATCTGCTTTATACCAAATGGATGATCATATGGAAATTGTGCGCAGGTTTTCTTGATGGATCCATGGTGGAATCCAGCTGTGGAGCAACAGGCCCAAGATCGAATTCACCGAATTGGACAATATAAACCAATTCGGTAAGTTCTGCTCTAGAGCTTCATATGTAGTTTCATACTTTACTTCCTAATTGTGTTATACAACAGTTCCTTCTATTTTGTTCACTTTGTATTTGCTTCTTATGGTTTTTTTTTTTAATTTAAAAAATAGGATTGTTAGATTTGTAATTGCAAACTCAATCGAGGAGAGGATTTTGAAGCTGCAAGAGAAGAAGAAATTAGTATTTGAAGGGTATTCTTCTTATTTTACAAGGCTTTCAATTAACTGAATTTGTTATTTTGACTCTTCAATCTTGATGAAATGTGCTTGTATGAACTATAGGACTGTGGGTGGATCTTCAGAGGCACTGGGAAGATTAACCCAAGCAGATCTACGATTCTTGTTCCAGACTTAGTTTTATCAGAGGAAGTTGTGCTCTGTCAGCTATCCAATACACCAAATGCCTTTGTTTCTCTTTGGCTGCAAGAATACTTACTTGTTTTTTTTTTTCATTAAAGAAACTCTTAACAATTTTGGGCAATGCTTTGGATTTTGGCATAAGGCTATTGGTTTCTGTTGGATTTCTTGGAGCCCCTTGTACAGAATAAACGAATTTTGTAACCATGTAGTTTCAGTTATTTATTATGTGCTCAAGGTATCTCCTTTGATGTGAAACTCTTTGACTTGACCAAACTCTTGGACAAACTACTGGCCAAAAATGGAGTCATGGGAATGATCGATTTTACAGCGACATTCAACGTTTTAATAAAGCTCAAATGTCTTTAACTTGTCTGGAATAAACTCTCTTCTTGGAAGAAGTAGAATGGTGATGGTACAGATGAGATTTCATTAGGAAAAGTGAAATCGAAGTCCTCTTAAAAAAAGGTGCGATTTTGGGTGCTGATTCTGTGAGAATGGAGAGGAGTATGTTAGGGGAGAAACAAAGAGAAAAGAACAAGAGAAGGATGTACGGCTCTTTCTCAGCTCGAATGTACCTGCCCCCTGCCGCCCCCCTCTCGTCACGTCGACATGGTTAACAAGTCTCCCATTAAAACATGATTTTTAAAAAATACTCTGATTTTTTGAAATTCATTGAGAACTCCAAGTTTCTCAAAACATCTTCAAAAAATTGTGGTCTTGATGGAATTGATATAACTTTGTATTTTATCTTTTTTTATTCTTTTAAAAAACCATCTTGTAGCTTTTATAGAAACTTCCGTTCTCTTTATTGATTTGATATCTTTGGAAAAAAGAACATTGAAAGAAGGATTAAATTAGAAATTTTTATTTAACAAAGAAAAAAGTTTATATAAGGTTGCAACCTTAAAATGTAGAATCACAAATGTACTTCAAAAATCCATCGGAGAATGTTGTTTTAATATTGATAAACCCTCTAATTGACCTTGATATCGAGATGTATGAATATGAAAAAAAAAAAAAAAAGATTTTGAGTCCTAGAAATAGTGTATTTTGCAACATATTATCTAGACCATCCATTTTCAAGATTTTCATATATTTATAGATCTACTTGATTTTGACCATTTTTGGAGTCTAAAATTTTATAATTAGATATGAAAATAGATTTTGAGATAATTTTAAGAATTTTTTACCTCAAAATTACATGTTACGATAAAATTTGGAGGTGTCCTTTAATTGGATTGTTTAAGGTTGCAACCGCACCTTTTAACGAAAAGTTCCACAGGGTCAATTAAGGTGCATGACGATTGCAGACGAGTGACGGCATTCACATCAATTTTGTTCGGTTTAATGGATGTTTTATATAACCCGGTAACTTTTTGAGTAATGTTTTTAGGATATTTTTAGCTTTAGTGGGAGTACCAGACTCTTCAATTTCTATAATGTCTTGATGGGCGGGCTCTTGCTTGATGGCTCTATGAGATTTTGTGGTAGAGGATTGGTTTGTGCTTTGATCCCAAGATGCATCTACTATGGTGGGTTCATGTATACCCCGTCAAGGTTGGTTGTCTAGTAGTGCCGAAAGTTTATTAGTCAGTATTTGTATAAGTCATGCAAAGAATGAGTTTACAAGGGGACACTCCATTCACCATAGAAATGGTGAAAATCGACTCGATTTGGATCTTAAATCTTCGGGTCTGAAATCCGGATTTTAGATCCTATTTGGATTCGAAATCCGGATCTGGTGGTAAATTTTCATTATATATATATATATATATATATATATGTTCTGGATCCAGATCCAATGCTATTTAAATGCGGATCTAAATATCCAAGATTTGGTTTGAACTTAAATCGGACCTGGATCGGATGTATACTATTCGGATCCAGATATGGATTCGGATCTGGTCGGATCTGACCCCGATCCGATCCATTCTCACCCCTAATCATGCATGACTTCCTCATCAAACTGGAATTTTTTAGAATAATGGATTTGGGAGGGCCATAGCATGTGTTACGGAGAAACCCTTCAGTACATGCATTGGTACCTTGTCTTTGAACGGCACACTTGCAATCTTTGATGAATTTGTAATCTTTTCTACTAATAAGTTAGGTTTGATGGACCAATCATGACTCCCTGTCATGAGAGCACTTGTGGGTCATGAGTTCATTAAGTTGGTTTGAGGGTAGAGGGTAGATAGTAGATAGTGATAGGAGTGTTATGTAAGAGTGCGTGCCTAGTGGAAAATGATTGGCCCTAGATTTCCTTTCATGTTTTTGAGAGAAAAATATCTTGTCACCTTAATATTATGTTATGGTTTATTTAATTAGAAACTGATTGTCCTATATAAGTTTTTTATAAAGAAAGGACTTTTGTTGAAGAATGTTTTTGTTTTGGAACCATACTTGGAAATTAGTAGAAAAAGAAGAGCTATAAACATCACACGTGTCTTATGTAGGATTCACACATGTAGGAGCCACGCATGTGCCATACAAGAGGCCACTCTTTTTGCTCTTTTTTTTTGACAAGGTTACTTTCTTTTATTAATATAAAATTGAGTACAATATATCAAAAAAGAAGAACATCGGAAACTATGACAGAATGAAGATCTATGCCCTGTTTGGCAAGCCCATCCGCAATTAAATTCGCCTCTCTATAAACATGCTGAAAAGCGATTTGCAAATTCTCGCAAAGGTCCAAAATTCTCATACACTTCCTTCTCAAATGCCAAGGAGGCCGCAACACATGAGTATACCAATTTATAATGTTTAGCGAGTCTCCTTCAGTAATGCAAGGACCTTGCACACTTCTTTGGAGCAGCAGCTGCGACCCTCATTCTAAAGCCTCCATGTCTACTTCAGTGGCAGTTAGGACACTGCTTGGTCCCGCATAACAAAGCCCAAAGTTCTTGCGTTACCAAGAGAGCTCTTATCAAAATTGAGTTTTAAACATCCCTGAACGGCAGCGCCCACCTTCTTTTTGGTCTCTTTCACAATTCTTCGATTAATCAAATTTAAAATATTAACATTCATATCACTCCTTAATATTCCAAAACCAAGGTAACATTTATATCGCTCCTTAATATTCCAAATCCTTCCTTGGTTGTAGAAAACTAAATCCGCATTGTGTTTAGGATTCTTCTTTCTACATGGAGGCCACTCAGGGCCACATTGGGCCTACATGTGGGGCCAATCAGTGGCACGCCCTACTCTTTTTGGATCTCCTAATTCTTTTGGATTGCATGAATTTCAGAGATCGAAGTCGATTTTAGATTTCATTGGATTCAAAAGATTCTAGGAGATCATAAAAATACTTTATGAGAAGGTTATGATTAGTTATGACAAGGGTATAGGGATTTCTAGGAAGATGCAACCGTAATTAAAGGGAAGGTTGTCGGGAAGCTTCCAACTAGGGATTAGTGTGTGATTCTAACCTTTGGATCATGATGGTTGATGCTTAAGATTTAATTTGTCACAGCTTAGGTTTCCCTCTTCTAGTAGAAGGCAAAGAAATTTATTTCCTAGGTACCCTTAAGCCATGCATATACAGAGACACCCCTCCTCCCTTAGTACATATTTTGGCTTTACAACCCAAAATTGAGAGGCAAGTAAAAGACAGAATGCTTAAGTCAGTGAAAGAGAGATGGTGATTAATAAGAAAGGCTAGGGCTTGATGTAATTTTTTTTCCTCATTAGTGTTTGATGTAGTTCTTGCGAGAAACATGAGATTTTTTTTTTTTCTATTTCTCCCATCACCATGTGCATCTACAACTAAATCTCGAAAACCATGAGTAAGAATATTTGCCTTCAAACTAGGTGCCATTGGTCTAGGGAGACAATAGTCCTAGGGGACCTTAGATAGCAAACCTGTTTGCTATTTTTTACTGTAGAAATCAGTTGTCTGCAATCCCTTAAGTTCTTCATGTGATAACCATTTTCCTTATGTAGGGTATGCCTATTTCCTTTGATTTTTTACTCTACTTTCTTCCTGTAAAATCTCATAGAAACCTCATGGACTTGGGAGATTAGGATGTTCTATTGGAAGGTGCTTTGTTTGTTTTCCACTGAACTCGACCATATATAAACATTGATTATGTATTTACTTTCATGACTTGTTCTTGAATATGACAGCAAAGTCATCACAGGGCATTATTGTTTTTTTTATTTTATTCTCTCTTTATAGTATTTATCAAAGACAAAACCAGTCGTTCATATAAGGTTTTGTTGATAGGGGAAATCAATAAGAGACGCAAAAAGTTTTCTGGGTCAATGTCACAGTCAGGATAATATTTTGATAATATAATTTTAACATTTTTTATATAAATCAAAATGATATGAAATTTGGAGCATCAATTCTTCTCATCAAGGAGCATCTAATAAAAATATTAAAAAAAATAAATTGACCTAAATACCTTTGAAACATTTCAGTGGTATTTTGGTCAATTTATTTAATACGAATTATTATTTTTTGTATTTTCATTATATTCTAATATTTTTTTTAAGAGTAGACGCTTTAAATTTCAAGTGATTTATATTTATATAAAAAAATATTAAAATTCAATTATGAAATACAACCATGATCATTGGATCGGTGCAGATTCAATCTGGGCTGTTGGGCTCGCACTGTTCCATCAGCCCATGGGCTAACATGAGCATTGATCTATATATATATAT